TTGGCTGGTGGTGGTTTTCCTCATTGAGAGTTTCAAGTTTCCTGGTACATTTTATTGATGCAACTTTTAAATGACCTCCCCAATACTAATGACAAAAGTTACCCCCCTCCTTTTTTTTAGATGGAGTCTCACACTGTTGCCCAGCCTGGAGTGCAGTGGTGCGATCTCGGCTCACTGCAACCATGGTTCACTGCAACCTCCGCCTCCCAGGTTCAAGCGATTCTCCTGCCTCAGCTTCCTGAGTAACTGGGATTACAGGTGCGTGCCACCACACCCAAGTTTTGAATTTTTAGTAAAGACGGTTTCACCATGTTAAGTCAAGCTGGTCTTGAACCCCTGACCTGGTTCTCTGCCCACCTCAGCCTCCCAGAGTGCTGGGATTATAGGTGTGAGCCACTACACCCGGCCTAAAAGTTTTCCGTAATTCCTCCCATCCACTTCAATCTGATTCCTGCATCAACCATGATGTAACTCAGGATGGGGAAATCTCCCTTTAAACACTATATGGGAGCATGCTTTTAACTGCTGCCCGCCAAGACAGTGCCACCAAGGCACACACGTTGTTTGAGAACCCTCCATTTCCTTGCCTATTTCCTCCTGTTCCTGCCAGCCTTCTGCTCCAGTTAAAGGGGCAGTGTGACCATAGCATGGCAATAGCTCCTGGGGGTATCCTGGCTGGCCTAGCTCTGCCACAGCAGTCACTCTTGGTAGCTCTCTACCACCTGTAGGTGGTCCCTGTCTACAATAATCTAACCTGAAGGGTACTGATACCCACTTAGGAGAAGTTACAAAAAATAAAAAGGGGTGTTGGGTGGGGAAGGGAAGGGATTCTCCAAAGCTACTCAGACCTGTGAGTGGTCCCCTCTAACATTTCCCTTTTTCTCTTGTCCCAAAGAAAGCGTGGGCAGGTTCCACATGGGCATCCTAGAGACCCCTCCTCCACGAGTCTGTTGCACAGAACCAAGTCATTGTAAGTCACATGCATCATATGATGGCTACCAAAGAAAAACTTTTTTTTTTTTTTGAGACGGAGTTTCGCTCGTTACCCAGGCTGGAGTGCAATGGCGCGATCTTGGCTCACCGCAACCTCTGCCTCCTGGGTTCAAGCAATTCTCCTGCCTCAGCCTCCCGAGTAGGTGGGATTACAGGCACGCATCACCATGCCCAGCTAATTTTTTTGTATTTTTAGTAGAGACGGGGTTTCACCATGTTGACCAGGATGGTCTCGATCTCTTGACCTCGTGATCCACCCGCCTCGGCCTCCCAAAGTGCTGGGATTACAGGCGTGTTTTTCTGGCTGGGCGCGCTGGCTCACATCTTTAGGGAAAGTATACAACCAGCTTCTCAGCTTGTGAAAGACCATTAATACCACCATGATCCATCTTTTTTTTTTTTTTTTTAGTCTGAGTTTCACTCTTGTTGCCCAGGCTGGAGTGCAATGGTGCGATCTCGGCTCACCACAACCTCCGCCTCCTGGGTTCAGGCAATTCTCCTGCCTCAGCCTCCTGAGTAGCTGGGATTACACGCACGTGCCACCATGCCCAGCTAATTTTTTTTTTGTATTTTTAGTAGAGACGGGGTTTCACCATGTTGACCAGGATGGTCTCGATCTCTTGACCTCGTGATCCGCCCGCCTCAGCCTCCCAAAGTGCTGGGATTACAGGCTTGAGCCACCGCGCCCAGCCCATGATCCATCATTTAAAAAGAATGTATTAACAGATATTTTTCTTACCTGGCAAAATTCTAAAAAATCATTCTATGATTTGTATCAAGTATTCCATGGTTCAATCTCATTCTTCCCCCCCACCCCCGCCACCCTTTTTTTTTTTTGGCCTATCTTTCCCAGTAACATGGATGGAAGGTTCAATCTCATTCTTGCTACCCTCGATGTAGCAGTAGAAATAAACAGAGTTTGAAAAAGACATACACACTAGCAAAGTACTGTTAAAAGGTTTATTGCAGTAATACAATAAAAGTTTAGAAAACATTTGTATGACTGAAACTGGTTTGGAAGTTGCAGAACAGTGGGGAATTCCTGCACCATGATACTGTGAGGAGATTCTCAGACACTAGTCCTCTTAATAGCACGCCACTGAATGCTCTTCCCCGAATTCTGAGTCCTTACATGAATCCTGTCCACTCGACCCAGCTTTCCCCTCTAACTTACAAATGTGCAAAACACTTTATATTCCGTTACCAAAAATGTCTTTAACAGACCGTTTTAAGGAGCCTGTTTGGTGCCTGTGTGGGTTTGTATTAGGATTACCTTGTTTCAATAAATCACTTAAAAATGGAAAACATGACCAAGTTCTATGGCTTTTTGTTTAAAAAAAATAATAACCAGCTTCAATTTTTTAAAAACGCTGTTTACATATGGTTCTGGCACCTACATGAAAGATTTTAATGAGCAGCAAAAAGAGTAGAAAAAACAGTGGTTGAAATGTATACTTAAGAGTATTTTCAGGGTGGATCCAGTGCAAAATAATGAAACACAAAATATTTCAGCAGTGTAAGCCAGTATGTTGGTGTTCCAAACCACAAAAGGGTTCGATCACTTAACCCTACATAAAGTGCCACTAGTTGATATTAACAACAAAATATATCCTATCAATCCCTAAAGTTCCCACATCTTTGTAAATTTTGTTGAAGTATTCTAGTTATGAGTTTGTGATCTCTGGATTTTATAGCTTCATCTCACATTCATGGTTTCATAAAAGGCTTAAGAAAACCATAACTACTGTTCATCTCAGATGAAGTCAATCTTTACCTCCAAGCTCCAAATCCCAATCTTGGCAACTCGTGAGACTAAGTTCTTCCTTCTGAGAGTTTTAAGTAGTAACTAGACGACTATTAAAACATCGTAAGTAATTTTATTTGGTATCTGTTCAAGTCCACCATCTCCACTCTCTAAGAACTCCAGAACTGGATGGGAAAATGCAAGCCCAGTAATTATGAAGCTGAGCACTTAACAGAGATCCTAGCAGTGCAGACGAACCCACAAGGGGCCGAGTGCAGTGGCTCATGCCTGTAATCCTCGCACTTTGGGAGGCCAAGGCAGGCATATCACCTGAAGTCAGGAGTTCAAGACCAGCCTGGCCAACATGGTGAAACCCCACCTCTACAAAAATACAGAAATTAGCTGGGCATGATGGCAGGTGCCTGTAATCCCAGCTGCTCGGTAAGTTGAGACAGGAGAATTGCTTAAAACCGGGACGCAGAGGTTGCAGTGAGCCAAGATCATGCCACTGCACTCCAGCCTGGATGGCTAAGCAAGACTCTATTTTTTTTTTAAAAAAAAAAACCCACAAGGAGTAAAGTCCACTTCCTCCTTTCATGGAAAATTCATAGAGCCAAGGAATTTGAGACTCATGGATAGAAATAAACTCCCTTCTGCAATTCTACCCACAACTATACCAAACACCAAATATACCATTAGCAAAAGCTAGTATAGCACCTCAGACTTGGAGGCAAAGTATCAACTACAACAATTACAATGAGAAAAGAAGGTAAACCTCTGAATGATTTAGCTGAGGTGCTATCATGCTAATCATGTAAAAGATATGGTAAATAGTGCCTGTTAGGAATTTTTCATAGGATTTTTTCTTTTTGTAGTTATATAGGATTTTTTTATGCAGTTATTAAAAATAAAAAACTACTTACATATTTGTACATAATGCCTCTCTCATAGTTTTCTTGTAAGATTGTCACTAAAAGCATGACAAGACACGAGCTGAAAATGATCTCCTGATAAGGGACATTTTTACATTGTGCTTTCCCCAGAACAGAGACAAGCAGCATCAGCTGTAAGGATCTGTGCTGCATTTCTGAGCAAAGCTGTGTCCCCAGAACAACAAAGACCTCGGAAACAAGCAGGACGTTTCCCCTGGAAACACCTGCCACCTAGGAAATCCCACAGAAAGAAACGACACAACACAAGAATGACCAGAGGCCACTTAACTAAGTGGCTTTTCCCCTGTGCCCAGGCAGGCATTGAGCTTACACATAAGGGAATGACCTTCATGACTTTTCTTTCTTCTCAAGATGGAATTTCGCTCATTTCCCAGGCTGGACTGCAATGGCGTGATCTCGACTCATCGCGATCTCCGCCTCCCTGGGTTCAAGCAATTCTTCTGCCTCAGCCTCCCAAGTAGCTGGGATTACAGTGTATTTTTAGTTGAGACGGTGTTTCTCCATGTTGGTCAGGCTGGTCTCGGGTGATCTGCCCGCCTCAGCCTCCCACAGTGCTAGTGCTGGGATTATAGGTGTAAGCCAGCCGACCTGCATGACTTACCATCCCTCAGAGAAGTTCAATTTCAAAACGCTCATAGTGTGGATGGCAGGAATTCAATAAACTGGGTAAGAATAAGCTTAATTCTCCTCAGAAAACAAGAAAATCTCTAGGACATTATTGCAGCCAGGATTTCTTCCATGCATGGATGTGGGTCCTAAAGAAAAAGACTTTCATTTTCTTTGGTGTGTGGGAGGAAAAGAAAAACAGGAATGTCTAACAAACTACGACAGAGCAGCACGAATGAAACGCATTGAAACCCCTTCTCCCAAACAAAACCAAAGGACCAATAATAAATCAAATGATTCCAAATTGCCTGCTGGTTCTCTGTACAAAAAACAATCGCAGAAAAACTCCTATTAAAGAGCTTTTCCCGTTCACGTCCTCATCATCGAGAATCACCTCCTGTGATTCAACCAACCTCTAAAACTTAAAGTGTCAGCAACAGACTCAGCACTGCAAGGACCAGCACCCTGATGCGTGTCTGTGGACCCTGTGGCCTGGGCCCAGAGGGAAGCCAAATTAACTGCTTCCTTGGCAGAACTGGCCACGAGCACAGGTCCTCCCTCCACCAACACTGGTCTGGAAAGACCTTCGACCCTTCTGCTCTATTAATTATCAAACACATTGGTCACCATGACAGGTCACTTGACACATAGAAATGTTTGTCTCCCTGCTTAAAAAAAACCAAAACACCACTTTAACCTCTATGTTCCAGGCACTATCTTAACTAAACAGATAATGTTGACTAGAGTGTAGTGGGAGAACTTTCTTGATGCAGATTTGGCATGTTTTAGTCCATGCTCGTTAACGGTGTCCAGTGTAAGCTTTAAACCAGGAGGTCACTGAGGCTGCTGCAGAGGAGATCATCCCACCTGCACTGCTGCTTGCGATGGGTGGGGACGCCTGGCTGCTCTGACTCTGGGAGACTTCCACAGGCTGGGAAGGGATATCACAAAACCGGGGACTAGGCAGGTTCTCCCAGTCTGTGCCCAGGTCAGTTTCTTCATCGCTTACGTGCTCGTCTCCACTCTCATCTGATTCTCCAGCAACTCCGGGATCCACAAATTCCATGGACTCCTCAAGGTCTGCTCGCACTTCAAAGGGCCCTGACCTGTGTGCAGACAATGAGGGCCTCTTTAGGATAACCACCATTCTCAACACCAGAAAATAAGCCATCTTCCTTGCGCCATTCATTCCCCAAGTCTGTGTTGCACTCTGTTGACAATATGTTTGAGTTTTCCTTTACCCAAATAATCATCCAAGTTATAAATCAAATTGTGATATCACACTTTTCCACAAGTCTACCTATTTAATTGGTGAAGACCCTGCATAGGGAAAAAAACCCATTCAATGAGATGGTCCATGCTGGTCCTAAGTCTGATTTCCTGTTGTAAAGAACCACACATAGTGTCTGCAAGGTAAATACACAGCACTCCAATGACACGATTCTAACAGAAAGCCACTTGTGTACTCTGTATATTATTTAGTGTAACAAGTAATAAATGTAATAAAAATGGTATACAAAGAAAACTCAGTGGGCTCCTGTACATGTTTAAAAATATCACCACCATTTTCTAGGACACATTTATAGCACAGAATGAAGCACAACTGTTTAGAATGTATCAGAGGCAATGCTGTGTATTTCTGCACAATATTTCAGGAGAAAACTGTTTATTTCCCAAAGGTCCCTAATGACACCCTCACTGCGAAATCTAGTAACCCTTTCTTAGGCCTCATCCTCTCTGCTGCCTCCTCAGCACAGGGAACCGAATTGGCAAACCTTGGAAGCCTTTCTGGTTTTTTTTGTTTGAGATGGAGTTTTGCTATCGTCGCCTAGGCTGGAGTGCAATGGCATGATCTTGGCTCACTGCAACCTCCTCCCAGGTTCAAGAGATTCTCCTGCCTCAACATCCCGAATAGCTGGGATTACAGGCACCCGCCACCACACCTGGCTGATTTTTGTATTTTTTAGGAGAGATGGGATTTCACCACGTTGGCCAGGCTGGTGTCAAGCTCCTGACCTCAGGTAATCCATCCGTCTTGGCCTCCCAAAATGCTGCAATTATAGGCGTGAGCACCATGCCTGACTTTTTTTTTTTTTTCTTTTTAAATTGAGACAGAGTCTTGCTCTGCCACCCACGCTGGAGTGCAGTGGCACAATCTAGCTTACTGCAACCTCCGCCTTCAGGGTTCAAGTGATTCTCCTGCCTCAACCTCTTAAGTAGGTGGGATTACAGATGCCCACCACCATGCCTGTTTAGTTTTTTTATTTTTAGTAGAGACAAGGGTTCACCATGTTGGCCAGGCTGGTCTTGAACTCCTGACCTCAAGTGATCCACCCACCTCCGCCTCCCAGAGTGTTGGGATTACAGGCATGAGCCACCACAGCCTATTGCCTTTCTGCTTCTTTTTCTGCTCCCTTTCAAATGCCCCTCAGCTTCTGCCTCAGGGCAGCCAGGATGCATGTCCTCCCTATGGGCAGCCATCCCCACCCACAGCCTTTCAGGGAACTGCCCTGCAACAAAGCTCCAGGGTGGGACCAAGGTGCCGCTATCTCCCTCCTGCTGTCCCCAAGATAAGCACACTTAATGCCATGCTTCATTTAAGGGTTTCACTGATAACGACTTTGGGGAAAATAAGAGAGGTCAAAATAAGTAACAGAAACGAGAGCCCAGAAGTGTACAGCCTGCCATTGCAGTCTAGGGTCCAACACTCTTTACAGCCTTCACAATGATAAAAGGCTAGCACTGGCCTCCAGTGCAGCTCACCAGGTCTGCACCTTTGACTCACTTTTTACAAGAACAAGCAGCCCTCATTCCTCCCAGACACTTATATAATCATAATGGCCAACATTTATGCTCCAGCGACTGTTTTCAGGGCTTTACAGGTATTAATTAAATTGGAAGATATGCCTGGGGTTTCCCACTTGGTCTCCAGTGAGCAATTTTCAAAGAGAAAGAGCCCCTGAGACTAGGGGGGCTCCCAAGTTGACTAGGCCCCCACCCTGCCCAAAAGCCAGTATTTTGCAAAGGTGAAGGGAGTAGGACTTGGGAGGGTCTCTCCAAATCTTCCTACTGCCCCTTTAATTTCTCTGCCAAGCAAACTAATGGCCACTGCATACAGTTTTTGGCTCTGAGCATCCTTTTATGTATCCTCAAGTTTCTCCTTGCGCTTCATTGCATTTTTCTCCTTTCCTTTTTTTTTTTTTTTTTGAAATGGAGTCTGGCTCTGCTGTCACCAGGCTGGAGTGCAGTGGCACGATCTCGGCTCATTGCAACCTCCACCTCGCAGGTTCAAGCAATTCTCCTTCCTCACCCCCCTGAGTAGCTGGGACTACAAGCAAGCGCCACCACGCCCAGCTAATTTTTGTATTTGGCCAGTATGGTCTCCATCTTTTGACCTCGTGACCCACCCGCCTCAGCTTCCCAAAGTGCTGGGATTACAGGCGTGAGCCACCATGGCCAGCCTGCGCTCTCTTTTTTCTTTTCCTTGGCAGACAGTTCCACTCTAAAGCCATCTTTTCAGATTCCTAGCGCCACTCCAAATCGCCCCTGGTTATTAAACCCTCAGGCTCATCTCAGATATCTGAACCAGTCTCAAAATATCAGCAGGCTGGGACTCCTCCCCTCCTCCCTCTCGATTTCTGTCTGGGGTCACCAGGGCTACCTGTAATCAAATAAGGTCCCTTTCTGTTTTCAACGTGTCACCCTGGCCCAGAGTCTCACCACATCACCATCATCTCCCACCTGCCGCCTCTAGCTGGAGAGCTGCCTGCCTCTCCTGGCACGCACCCACTAAAAACGTTCACAACTTCAGATCCTTTGCTGGGCTCCCTCCTTTATTAAATGCAGGGCGCTCTGATTCTGTTCTGTTCAGCTGTGCAGTCCAGGGGACCTCAGAACTGACTGCCAGGCTAAGTTTTCCCAGGATCCCCCTCAGGCCCCAGTCAGCTTTTTTTTTTTTTTTTTGAGACGGAGTTTCGCTCTAACTGTTACCCAGGCTGGAGTGCAATGGCGCGATCTTGGCTCACCGCAACCTCCGCCTGGATTCAGGCAATTCTCCTGCCTCAGCCTCCTGAGTAGCTGGGATTACAGTCACGTGCCACCATGCCCAGCTGATTTTTTGTATTTTTAGTAGAGATGGGGTTTCACCATGTTGACCACGATGGTCTCGATCGCTTGACCTCGTGATCCACCCGCCTCAGCCTCCCAAAGTGCTGGGATTACAGGCGTGAGCCACCGCACCCGGCCCGCGTTTATCTTTTTCTTTTTAAAGAGACAGGGTTTCACTCTGTCAGCCAGGCTGGAGTGCATGCAGTGGCACAATCAGAGCTCACTGCAGCCTAGAACTCCTCAACTCAAGCGATCCTCCCACCTCAACCTCCAGAGTAGCTGGGACTACAGGCATGCCATACCATGTCTGGCTAAATTATTTTTTTTTCTTTTTGTAGAGACAGAGTCTCACTAGGTTGCCCAGGCTGGTCTTGAACTCCTGGGCTCAAGTGATCCTCCCATTTCAGCCTTCCAAGTAGCTGGGATTATAGGCATGAGCCACCACCTGGTTTGAACAATCATTTCTAATAGTTTCTTAGTTCTCTTGGATATCCAGTTTAATAGTTATGCCATCTACAGTAATGCTAACTTAGTTTCTTTCTTCCCAATATAAATACACCTCACTTCTTTTTAAGAATACTTTGCCTTGGCAAGGCCTCCTGAGCTATGTTAACACAGCACTGAGAGTAGGCACCCTTGGTTTTTCCTACGTAATCTACTGCGTAAATTACATCGATATCTATGTCAGTAATCTGTCACTAAGTGTAACTTTCCTTATATGTTTAGGATAGCTATCCTCTAGTAATCATCTACTTCTAACTTGCTAGTCATCTCCCCCTCTAATTATTAATGGAAGCTGCGTTTTATTTAATTATCTTCAGCATCTATCGGGTTGATCTTTTTGCTGCTTTAATCTGTTAATGTGATGAAATAATATGCTGGTTAGCAGCTTGAGTCTCTACTACCGTGGATCAGCCAGATGTGTGCTGAGACCCTGGCTCCACCACTTGTACGAGCTCTGTGCCCATGGCCACGAGTTACTTGATCATACTAAGCTTCAGTTTCTCCCATCTATAAAGCAGAAATAATATTCAAGGGAAGTAAAGAGGTTGGCCCTTTGTCAATAAAGACTGGCCCAACAAATATTAGCTCTTATTAGTAAGGATAAATTTCCTAATGTTGAGCCCTTTACAGGTAAATTTCCTAACGCTGAGCTCTTTACAGCCCTTTACAGGTAAGGTACAGAAAGGAGGGTGAGTAAGCTCACAGAAATCAACCACTAAAACTAGGATGGATTTCTAATGTTCAGGTTTCCACAGGTCATGAACCAATGAATGGAATCAGGGGTGAGAGGCACGAACTCCCTGTAAAATGGCACAACATTTTAAGTACATGCGCAGTTTCCTGGAGAGTTCACAGCTTTGTATAAGAGTCTATATCCTGGAAATGTTAACTATCTGATGTGGGGAGGGGGAGGAAGCTAACACAATGGCTCAAGGCAGATGTTAACTGCTGCATGGGGGAAGCCAGGCACACTGTCAGTGGAGGAGGCCCCCCTAATAACGCCTTGGGTTTCAGTAGATGGCTGATGTGGAAGGAATCCCCAGAGAACTTTCCCACCATTTGTCTTTCTTTGAGTATTCTTTCAAAAGTGTAAATACATAACCGTATTTACATCTCTGCAGGAATGTGTGGACAGACTGGTAAGAGCAAGGAAAAAAAGTTAAGTGCCCAGCACAAGGGTGCCTGGATGGAACGAAGCTGAGCCTCATATACTTCATGCTTTCATGGGCTGAGAATAAAAAGATCTCACACACCAGCCCTGGTTGGTATTTTTTCTTTAACTTTCTTTAAGCTAACTGATTTCAAACCAGTTGATCCCCTAAACCTCTAATACCTATTATCTCCAACAAATGGTGATCAGATTGACTCAGTGATAAGAAGAAAATTGTGTGGCTGGGCCACACAATGATGGCTAATGCCTGTAATCCCAGCACTCACAGGCCAAAGCGGGTGGATCACCTGAGATCAGGAGATTGAGCCTGAGCTGGCCAACATGGTAAAACCCCTCTCTACTAAAAATATAAAAAGTAGCTGGGTGTGGTGGCACACGCTTGTAATCCCAGCTGCTTGTGAGGCTGAGACAGGAGAGTCACTTGAACCCGGGAGGTGGAGGTTGCAGTGAGATGAGATTGCACCACTGCACTACAGCCTGGGCGACAAGAGTGAAACACCATCTCAAAAAAAAAAAAAAACCCTGTGAATTGTTACTATGGACAAGGAGTGAGCAGGGGCAAAAGAAAATGCAAAGGACGGACACTCAGTAGGGCCACAGAGTTCACAGCTTTTTATAAAGGGGTCTATGTCCAGGAAGGGCGTATAGGCAGATTCAAAGATGTGACCTTCAGCCTTCTGTGGTTTCTTCTACTGCATTTTATAAAAATGATTGATATTAATTTTTTCTAAGACATGATTACAAAAAAAAGTTCAAATATAATTACCTTTGTTTCTTTCTGTATGGGACTGCACTATTTTTGTCCGGTTTGAGAAGTTTGGGATTAGGGAACAGGACTACACTATGTCAACATACAACTCTTCTAACAGGAGTCACAGAAAACACTTAGAGTAAAGCAACATGTATCCTTCTTACCTGCCTAGGTGTTCAGAGCTCGGACTGACCAGGTACATTAGATTCCTGAGGGTATGCAGTGGTTGTAATTGATCTAAATTTACATGCTAAAAAAATTAAAGAGTTGGTTAATATTTTCAATTATTTAAGAAAGCAAAAATTAATTCACAACGTATTTTTCATACCTGAGAAAAACAAAGATAAAGAATATTTGCGTTCAGTTTCTTCACTGCCCGAGTAAACTTCTGCTTGCTTAGATTTTCGCCACAAAATTCACTGTAAAACAAACACACAATTTATAAAGCTCTATCTTTTTTTTTGAGGAAATTGTTTAAATTTCTATTTACAGTACAATTAGGTATAACACGTACCCTGTGCCCTTTGCCTCCTTAGTAAATTACACTTAACAAAGACTTTTTAACAGAACAATTATATTGCATCTACACAAATCACAAATGCACACCCCCTTCCACCAAGCAATTCCACTTCAGGAAATTTATTCTACACAAATATCTGAAACACTTAACAAATACCTGAAACACTAATGAAATGAAAAATGGACAAGATTATTTCTTGAAGCATCAACAGCAGACTGGTAAGATCTTGATACCTTTATAGAAAGGAAAACCATACAGCTGTCATCTACTTTACGCAGAATGACAGCCAAACGCTTACATGGCCCTATGAGGCCCACAAGATTTGCACCCTGTCTTCCTCTCTACCCTTGTCATTCCATCCAGGACACTGCAATTGCCATTCTTTTGGCCTGCAGCCTCTTTCCTAAGGGGTCCACACAGCTCCCTCCCTCCCTCCATTCCTCCCTCCTTCCCTCCGGTTCCCTTGGGGGGACTATGTACCTGCCCACTTAAACACAGCAAGCCCCTCTCTCACCACATTCCCTTTCTCTTACATTTTTTTTTATAGGCAGGGTCTCATTCTGTCACCCAGGCTAGCATGCAGTGGTGTGATCACTGCTCACTGCAGCCTGCAGCCTCAATCTCCTGGGCTCAAGTGATCCTCCCACCTCAGCTTCCCAAGTAGCTGGGACTACAGTTGTGCACTACCACATGCAGCTAATTTTTTTTTTTTTTTTTTTTTTTTAATTCTTAGTAGTGATGAGGTCTCACTATGTTGCCCAGGCTGGTCTCGAACTCCTGAGCTCAAGTGATCCTCCTGCCTCAGCTTTCCAAAGTGCTGCGATTACAGGCAGGCGTGAGCTGCCCTCTCACCCTGTTTTAATGTGCTCCACAGCATTTACTGCCAGCTGACGTGCTGTTGATTTGTCTACTATTTATGCTGAGCCCTCCATGAAAATGTGAGCTCCACGAGGGTAGGGATTATTTTTTTGTCACCAGTGTGCCCTCCAGTTCCTACAACAGTGCCGGCACACAGTGGGAACTTCATTAACATTTGTTACTAACTAAAAATTTTAAAAGCAAACTGTAAAACACTACAGTATAGCATACTACCATCTGTGTTTAAAGGGGGAAGATGGTGGCTGGGTACAGTGGCCCATGCCTGTCATCCTAGCTACATGGGAGGCTAAGGTAGAAGAACTGCCTGAACCTGTGAGCTGGAGGCTGCAGTGAGCAGAGATTGCACCCCTGTGCCCCAGCCTAGGTGACAGAGCAAGACTCGGTCTCAAAACACCACCACCACCACCACCACCACCAACACCAAAGAATTCAATGGTTACAATTTAACATGAGTATCTGCAGCAAACCCTTGAATATCCTGGTACTCCCCTTTATGTTCTCTGTGGTCTTCTCGAAGACTTCATGTACAATTGTAAGATAATGAAACAAATTAGCACATAAGGCTTTTGAAATTAATCTTGATATTTCAATCAGACCTTCTCAGTCTTGATAATACTTACATTCTTATTTTTGGTTTATTGGAATAAATGAAGACAAAATAGAAACTTGGAAGAGCTATGATAAAGATGACAATATTGCCTTCAATTACTTGCCTGTTGCACAGCTTTTTGGGAAGATTTACATCAAGTATATGAGACAGAATGTTGACCAGCTGAGTTGCATAGCACAGCGCAGCACTGATGGTGTAGGCAGGGTTACTCTGCTCCATGTCTGCAGTATGAAAACAACCACCATGGACAAAACCTTCATTCCAACAACATTCCAATGAACCAAGAGTTGATCATAAAGACTTTATCATGATAGCACTGTTATGTTTTAGACCTTACTTAACAGATACTCCATGACCAGGCATAAATGGCCCATTGTATTTTGCTGAGCAATGCAACAGAGCAAATGGGCCTATACAGGCCTAGCATAAATGAAATTCAAGTCTGACCTGTGTGAACCTGATAATGTAATATCAGAATAAATGCCCAACTTGAATGTCACCTCCCCAGAAAGGCCTCTCCTGACAACCCTATCAAAGAGTCAGCCCTTCCTCTGTACCCCATCCTGCCCCAGGATGCTCCCCTAATTCCTTCCATGGTACCCACTCCATCTACAGCAACTTGATTATTGACGTGCTTCCTGCCTTTCTCCCCTGAGAAGGGGAAAAGGCCACATCTGTCTTGGTCACCTTTGTATGTCCAGCACCCAACAATGTACATCACACAAAGCATGAGCTCACTAAATATTTAATGAGTAACTGCAAACAATCTTTTTCCAGCCGGGCGCGGTGGCTCACGCCTGTAATCCCAGCACTTTGGGAGGCCGAGGCGGGTGGATCACGAGGTCGAGAGATCGAGACCATCCTGGTCAACATGGTGAAACCCCGTCTCTACTAAAAATACAAAAATTAGCTGGGCGTGGTGGCGCATGCCTGTAGTCCCAGCTACTAGGGAGGCGGAGTTAGGAGAATTGCCTGAACCCAGGATTCGGAGGTTGCGGTGAGCCGAGATTGCGCCATTGCACTCCAGCCTGGGTAACAAGAGCGAAACTCCGTCTCAAAAAAAAAAAAAAAAAAAACAATCTTTTTCCACCAAAGAGAAACTGCAGGGGTTTTAAAGGGTTTTTCCATTGGAGGATTTCAATCTCCATTTAGGACTACTAAAACGCATTACAAAGTTATACACTAAAAACCTAGGTCTCAACAAGTTAAATATACTTCTTTAAATAATGTCTTCTTACATAAACCAAGCAATATTAACCCCCAAAAAGTGAGCCATCTAAAAAATGTTTTCAGTCCATCAAGTGATGAATGAATGAATAAAACAAAATGTGGCTTATTTATCCATACAATGGAATTCATTCAAAGGAATGAAATAATAATATATGCAAATCACGTGGACGAACCTTGAAAGTACCATGCTAAGTGAAAGAAGTCACACACAAAAGGCCATAGATTTGATGATTCCATTGATATGAGTTGCCCAGGACAGGCAAATCTACAGACACAGAAAGCAGGTTTGTAGTTGCCAGGAGCCGAGGGCAAGGGAGAGTCGGGGAATGTGACACTTTGATGCCATGGGGTTTCTGCTGGGATGATCAAAATGTTTTGGAATGACATGGAGGTGATGGAAGCACACAGGAATGTACTAAATGCCCCTGAATTGTTCATTTGAAAGCTGTTCATTTTATGTCAATTTTACCTAGAACTCTCTATCTAGATTTCAAAGGATATGCAACTTCTCACCAGGCCCCTGGGTTGTTTTCTTCTCCTCCACCCAGCTGTAGTAGGCAGAGTAGTCCCCATTGTTCGGGAGGCTAATCCAAGGCCCTGTAATGCTAATGCTGGTGTCTCCATTGTGATCATCGCAGACCCATCGTCCTGAGAGGTAAGTTGTCCTCCGGGCTTCGGCAAGCTTGCTCACAGTGCTGGAGGTCATGGCACTGTCACTCTCTGAAGACACATCTGCGGGATCTCTACAAGTCAGAAGACACAAACAGACTTCAAGAGAGGATTTTCAAGGGCATGCAATATACCCGCAACACAAGCTAGAACGTCAAAGAGCTGCATGTGAGCACAGGAATTCTACCTTAGTTTTTATTTTTTTATTTTTAGAGATGGGTGTCACTCTGTTACCCAACATGGAGTGCACTGACAGATGCAATCATAGCTCACAGAAGCCTTGAACTCCCAAACTCCAGAGATCCTCCTGCCTCAGGCTCCTAAGTAGCTGGGACTACAGGCACCTACTACCAAATCTGGCTAACTTAAAACATTTTTTGGTAGAGATGAGGTCTCACTTTGTTGCCCAGGCTGGTCTTGAACTCTTGGCCTCAAGCAATCCTCTGAAAGTGCTGAGATTATAATCGTGAGCTACTGCAATAGGCCAAAGTGCAAATATTTCAGTTGTGAGCCACCATACCTGGCCAGGAATTAACTGGAATATATGTAGGTAAAAACTTGCTATCAGAGATGAGGATCAAACCAGCTGCGGCACAGAAGCCCACACACTGTGAGGAAGACGGAACCAAGAGATGGGGCCGAACGTAGCAGGTCCTCCAACTATTTGGTCTCGAGACCCCTTTACATGCTTAACACACTTTGGAATCCCAAAGAACTTTTGTTTACATGGGTAGGATTACTGATACTTACTGAATTAGAAACTTAGAAAAATTTAAATAATTCATTCAGACATATCAATAAACCTATTAAACCTGTTCAACATTTTTATGAAAAAAATCTTTTCAAAACAAAAAATTAGTAAAGAGTGACACCGTTTTACATTTTTTAAACTCTCTTTAAGACTCAAGTCTTTCTGTCAAGTAAAAATAGCATCCCACAAAAATAGCAGCTAGTTCAGCCTGCAGCTCGAGCTCTAGTGCTTTTCCCCCGCGCCAGCAATGGCCCTTCAGTATGCAGCACAGGGCCTTGCGCCTGCTCGCCATACCCTCACATGCCACAGTCAGCCCTCCGTATTCACAGGCTCCACACTGCAAACCAACTGAGGACTGAAAGAAAAGAAACAACAGGGCTAGGTGCAGTGGCTCATGTCTGTAATCCCAGCACTTTAGGAAGTCAAGGCGGGTAGATCACTTGAGGTCAGGAATTTGAGACCAGCCTGGCCAATACAGTGAAACCCCGTCTCTACTAAAAATACAAAAACATTAGCTGGGTATGGTGGCAGGTGCCTGTAATCCCAGCTACTTGGGAGGCTAAGGCGGGAGAACTGCTTGAAACCAGGAGGCAGAGGTTGCAGTGAGCTGAGATTGTGCCAGTACACTCCAGCCTGGGTGACACAGTGAGACTCTGTCTCAAAATACAAACAAACAAAAAACTAAGAATAACAAAAAATAACACGCCCACCATGATGGCTCATGCCTGTAATTTCAGTGCTTTGTAAGGTGAAGGCAGAAGGATTGCTTCAGCCCAGGAATTCAAGGTTATAATGAGCTATGATCACATCACTGCACTCCAGCCTGGGCAACAGAATGAGACTCCCTCTCAAAACTCCCTCTCAAATCAACAAACAAAAAAACAAACCCACCATGAGAAGTCACAGCAGGTACAAATGCAGTGATGGGGAAGAACACAGCGCACTTGGGGAACAGAGATGTTCAGTGTGGCTGGTGTGTGAGACACAAGGGAAGTGCCAGGAGACGGGACTGGAAAAGCAGGCAGGAAGCAAGCGGACTGGGAAAGGCCTTCTGTGATGCTCCAAGTTTAGATTCTGTCCTCTTGGCCAGTGGTTCTTCGTATCTTTCCTTCTGCCACAACATACGTGTAAGATAACTGCTACCGGCTGTCACAGATAAGACTGGCCAATTCTGAGCTGTACTGCTACCTCTCCCTCCTCCCACAAGAAGTTAAGAGAAACACAAACAAGAAATCTTACTACAAGGATAACTTTAAAACCATCAACTTCTTTTTAAAAAATGAATGGCATAAGGCCAGGCGTGGTGGCTCAAGCCTGTAATCCCAGCACTTTGGGAGGCCAAGGCGGGTGGATCACAAGGTCAAGAGATCGAGACCATCCTGATCAACATGGTGAAACCCCGTCTCTACTAAAATACAAAAAAGTAGCTGGGCATGGTGGCACGTGCCTGTAATCCCAGCTACTCAGGAGGCTGAGGCAGGAGAATTGCCTGAACCCGGGAGGCGGAGGTTGCGGTGAGCCGAGATGGCGCCATTGCACTCCAGCCTGGGTAACAAGAGCGAAACTCTATCTCAAAAAAAAAAAAAAAAAAATGAATGGCATATAATCATTTACACTAAACAAAAGATTAAAACAGCACAGAAATAGAGTTTTTCTTCATGTTCTCTCTTGGTGTTTTCTTTTTGAAAAAATGTCAGCCTTACAGAAAAGCGTCAAGAATTTTAAAGTTTCCTTGTATACACTTTGCTCAACTTCCCCAAAGTATCAATTCAGGAAAATATTATACAACAATCACAACCAGGTAATCAGCACTGCTACGACACTGCTAACTAATTTACAGACCTTACTCAACTCTCTCCAACTGTCCTGCTAGTATCTCTTCTGGGGTACAGGATACAAGATCACATACCGCACTCAGCTGTCAGTCTCCTAAAAACCCGATATTCTGCTCTATTTTGAATCTGCCTTTTTATTTTTCTATTTGCCAACTCCTACTTATAATGAATTACTTAGGGTCAGAGAGCAGGTTCTCAAGCTAGAAGAGCAATCAGTCTTTTTGGGTTTTAGGAAGCCAACTCTGGCAACAGACTGAAGGACAGACTGGAGAGAATAGTTATGAAACTAGCAGTAGTCCAGTGAGTGTCAAGTTTCCAGGGAGAGCTGATGGAGAGTGGGAGCAGCCAGAGAGACAGGAAAATCCTCAACCAGAGCAGCCAGTGGCTTGTGGGAATAAATGAAAGCCGGTCGCAGCTGTCAAACCTGCTGATCAGCAGTAGCATCAGGGAAGTTTAAAGATACAGAAGTATTACAAGTTGGACTGGGAGGTTGGAGGGGTACCCTCTGGAACCTCTATTTCTCAGATGAACAGCCAGATGGGGGAACCACTGTCCTGTTCATCCCACCAGAGATTATCCATGCACTACTGCCTAAGATTAAAGTCACAGTATTTAGTGTTCAACAGCAGTTAACACAATAAGTAGCAGTCACCAGGAAAAGGTTAAGTCAACAAGTAGTGCCCACCATCTCAGAGACCCCAAGCTCTAGATGTTTTCTTATGTTTTTGCTCATGATTTCTCTGTATAAGGGCATTTAAAAAATCCCCATTTGTCAGGCAAGGAAGTCAAGACTTTTGAGGTTCAAGAAGATGCCTCACAAAACACAACTCATAAATGGCCCAACCTCACCCATCAGATAGCTCTCTTTTTTTTTTCTTTTTTTTTTTGGAGATAGTCTTGCTCTCTTGCTCTCAGGCTGAAGTGCAGTGGCATGATCTTGGCTCACTGCAACCTCAGCCTCCTGGGTTCAAGCAATTCTTTTGCTGTACTGTAGCTGGGACTACAGGTGCGTGCCACCATGCCTGGCTAATTTTTGTGTTTTCAGTAGAGATGGGGTTTCATCATGTTGGCCAGGCTGGTCTCAAACTACCAACCTCTCAGGTGATCTGCCTGCCTCAGCCTCCCAAAGTGCTGGGATTACAGGTGGGAGCCACCACACCCGGTCAACAGGTGGTTCTTAAGTAGAAGTACGAGTCAGTGCCTCACCTAGCAGCTCTGGGAGAGTACACAAGCCCGGGCCCCACCCCTCACCTGGCTGCCTCGCCAGCTTTGTGCAGTTTGCACTGTTTGTTGAAGCAGGTAAGACTTATGTTCCATCACCAGGAAAACCACTGACCCTAGAATAAGGCCCAAGAAATAAGGTGCTGACATACTTCAAAAAGTATTTGGAACTTGACCTATCCCTAGAGTGAAAAGATTTGCTGAATGTACCTCACACCAGTCTTTACTTCCTCGATTGGGAAAATGACAGAAGTGAGCTCTAATATATGGGATCGTCGAAGATTTGCCAGACGCTCATAATGACTTCTTAAGTCAATGGTCTTTTTCTCTACCAGGTCACCAAGTTTGCGATTATGCCTTTGAATCTTCTCCTTTTTCTCTTGGTGCCGCTGTGCTCGACTGTAAAGCTTTTGATTCTTCTCCTTGGTTTTGAGAAGACCTTCGGAATCTAAAATACATAAATCACACCCAACAATTATCTCTGCAAACAGTTCCTAGGCACTGCAGAGCTCCACCCCACAAACATACATGTTTTCCCCTGCAATCTAAACTGAAAGCAAAACCTCAATAAAATCAACTCATGTTCACTAAGTGAAAATTTTGAGAGTTTAGTTCAAGCAGACATTACACGTAAGGGAAAGAGAACCATGATTAAAATGACTCTTACCGCAAATCAACAGGAAGTTGGGTAACAAAAAAAAATAATAAAAAAATACAAAATAAAATGACTCTGGAGCTCCATGTGTACTCATCCTTAGTAAATGGAGTCACTCAATGACTGTCAAGTTTAAGTTCAGCACAGGAAGGACCTGATTTTCCTAAAGTGGGCACCAAAGAATAGTCATGTTGGGCAGAAAAGAGATCTACTTCAAAGTTGAAAAACTTACTGGCTATCTGATTTCCTGAGAAACCTCTTAGGTGTGCCCTGGGTTATAAGCAGAGAGCCCAGGGATAATCCCACAGCAGACGGTTATCCAGCAGAGAAGAGCAACAGAAACAGCCCAAGAGCTCTTCAAAGTCACAGTGGAGCAGGGCAGCAACCGGCAGGGTGGGTGGGAACATAGCTGCTGAGGTATCCGGAACACACATGCCCAGCATTTTAAGCGCTGCAAGGGAAACAAAAGCCTGGCCACACAACCAGGAGAGGAGACATACACTTGCCCTGTCAGATTTCGGTCCTTTTTGTGGAGTTCCTTTGAGTTCTGGATCCTACACCTGCTAGCTACACCTGTTGGGCTGTTGCGAGACTTCACTTGAATGACAGAAACAAGCTGTAAACTCTCACACAGGTATCTAGGAGTTGCTCAGGCAACTTAAACCCAAGTTCGAAACCAAGTTCAGTATTTTTCCAGGAAAATCTCCAGTTTCCCTACTTCAAGATGATTTTTGACTTGTCCACTGCCTAATCAATCCCTCAATGGTCAATTCTAGTCCAAGTCTATCTAGACTTTTCTTTTTATTCCTACTATCACAACCCTGGTTAACGCTCACCAAAAGTCTGCCTATCTCCAGCATGGCTTGACTCCAAGCCTTCAGGCCCTTTTTCACTTGCTCAATCTTTATTTATTTATTTATTTATTTATTTATTTTTTTTCTGAGACGGAGTTTCGCTCTTGTTACCCAGGCTGGAGTGCAATGGCGCGATCTCGGCTCACCACAACCTCCGCCTCCTGGGTTCAGGCAATTCTCCTGCCTCAGCCTCCTGAGTAGCTCGGATTACAGGCATGTGCCACCATGCCCAGCTAATTTTTTGTATTTTTAGTAGAGACGGGGTTTCACCATATTGACCAGGATGGTCTCGATCTTTTGACCTCGTGATCCACCCGCCTCGGCCTCCCAAAGTGCTGGGATTACAGGCTTGAGCCACTGCGCCCGGCCCACTTGCTCAATCTTTATAAATTGTGGTCAATGCTCAGTGGTTCTCTACTCCCCATCAAATACAGTCATCACTCCCTAACACTCACACTATCTATTTCCTCCTGTTTTCTAAATGTTCAAATTTCACTCATTCAGGAAGGCGCCTCCATCAACACACCCCAGACCTTTTGCTCTCAGAACCCTGTGGGAATGTGTTTGGACACCTCTGATGGCACATAGCTCTTGCTTCCTTACATGAGGTCCCACTGAAGCCTTGCTGTCTCCTAACTAGGATATAAAAAGTACCTGATAAATGCCTGTGGATCCGAATCATCCTCCCACCCTCTTTCACAGAGTGAACTTAGGTATTTGGTTGCAGGCCTTAGATTTCTGACAGTTTTTTTGTTTAAAGACGGAGTTGCACTCTTATTGCCCAGGCTGGAACGCAGTGGCGCAATATCAGCTCACCGCAACCTCCGCCTCCTGGGTTCAAGTGATTCTCCTGCCTCAGCCTCGCGAGTAGCTGGGATTACAGGCACATACCACCACACCCAGCTAGGTTTTACATTTTTAGTAGAAATGAGGTTTTGCAACGTTGGCTGGGTTGGTCTCGGACTACTGCCCTCTAAGTGATCCATCTGCCTTGGCCTCCCAAAGTGTTGGGATTACAGGTGTGAGCCACTGTGCCTGGTCAATTTCTTAGTTTTGTAACAAAAATCAGCCAGGTGTCATGGTGGGTGCCTGTAATCCCAGCTACGTGAGAGGCTGAGGCAGGAGAACTGCTTCATCCCGGAAGACAAAGGCTGCAGTCAGCCGATATGGCGCCACTGCACTCCAGCCTGGGTGACACTACGTTTCAAAACATCATCATCATCATCATCATCATCATCATCATCATCATCTCTTTGTCATCCCTGCTCAATGTGAATGTCCTAAAGGTTCAGTCTCTTGGTTCCATCACTTCCTAACTTATTCTCATAATCTTTACTTAGCTCTTTACAAGTGCTGAAATGAATCTACCCAGCCATGATCCTGACTCATACAGTGTTGAGATTTTTGGGGAGGACTCTATTTCAAATTTATGATCATGACCACTCACAGGTGGCAGGAAATCATCAGTCACCCCATCTGCACCCAGTGCAGACTCAGCACCCAGTCATCCTTCTCTCCCTGCCATCTCCCCTCAAACATCAAGATGTCTGGTGCTGTATCTGTATCTTCTCTTGCTTCTTTGGATAAGTACTCCAACTACAGCACAGATCAACTCAACACTGCAACTGCGTATAACCTAATTTCCCCATCTGTGCCATATGATATATCTATATTATACCATACAATGTGCATCACGACCCCTTAAGTCAAAAGATTCTAGATAAATAATTCATCAGTCTCTACAAGTAATTTAGAATTTGTGCCCTTTTGTGAATACATGTCATAATTTGACAACAACAAAAAGACTATTGGGAAGCAAGCTCTTAAGGATGAGTTTGAAGCATTGCTTCTGGAATCCATTAACACCTTTAAAACCATTTGCAAATTTTTAAAGTCTGGTTTAGAGGGTGAGAAGGAGACTGTATTTACATTCTAAAGAGCAGCAGTTCCCAACCCTGGCAGGTCATCAGAACCACTTGGAGTAGTGCTATTCAAGTGTGGCTTCTAGATCTGGGCCCATCCGTAAACTGTTACCAGTCATGAAGAGAGGAGGACAGAGATACAGAGTATGCACGTGGAAGCTTTTTTCTTCAACATGGCGATCTGACACTGCAATAACATTCAAGCATGTGATCATTTTCCTAAGTCCAGGACAGATCCCAGGGTTCTCTCTCTAGATTTTACAAGGGTCACCAGGTGACTGATGATGTGCTGGGGATAAAAACCGCGAGGGTCCATTCCTTCATATATATGTCTAATTCTTCCTGGTGGTGGTTTTTTGGGGAGTTAGGAATGAGATAAAAACAGCTGATCAGAGCTTTTAACCTGTTCATCAGAGAAAAGGGCATGCTCAGTAAATTCAGCCATTTCAGGAGGTTCACAGACGCCTGGTGGCAAAGCCCTGAACATCATGGGAAGAAGGGGAGAGCGTGAACTAAGGTTAAGGAATGGGTTCTTATGGTGCTACTGACCCACAGCCTTTGGAGACCGCATGCAAGACTGGGTGGAAAGTGGGTTCTAGAGAGTTCTGTGCATTTTCCACTGTGCTGTCCAAATTCTCTAGTAATCCCATGAAACTCCATGTGAGCATTTTATTAGGACAAATGTTTTCAACGGAAGCTTTACACCATTACATGCCACTATAAAAGACTTGTTTCTGGAAGCAATGAGTAGACAAGAAAGGGATTCACGAGGTCTGATGCTGACTCATCCTAAACTTTAAACACTCATCTTCAGAAATTCATGGACTGCAGCTCACTGCTGGTGCTCGTTTAATGTTACATAACCACACTGAGCCTGAAATAAATCTGAATTTCAGTGTGAAAATAAAACATAAAAGCTTTTCTTGGAGTTATTTCTAAACAGAACATGTCTCTTAATCTTAATTTAACAGAAATATATATGATGTTATATTAGGATTAGAGACAAGAGTATTATTGGAGCAAACAGGAAATAGGTTAAGGATGTAGGATTTCTAAGACAATTCATTTTGACAACGGCCTATGATAAAGTATAAAGTGTACAAATATGATGTAAACTTAGTAACAGATTAAAATGTGGAGACTCACTAAGGGAAAAAAACCCAATATTCTGTGCTTCTGCCATGAGCCAATAATTATTACAAGTGAGTACTAAGTTAGACTCTGAGCCACCTGTTAGCCAAGGCAAATAGAAACATACATTCCATAACTTTTTTTTTGAGACGGAGTTTCGCTCTTGTTGCCCAGGCTGGAGTGCAATGGCGCAATCTTGGCTCACTGCAACCTCTGCCTCCTGGGTTCAAGCAATTCTCCTGCCTCTGCCTCCCAAGCAGCTGGGATTACAAGTACCTGCCACCATACCTAGCTAATTTTTGTATTTTTAGTAGAGACAGGGTTTCGCCATGTTGGCCAGGCTGGTCTCGAACTCCCGACTTCAGGTGACCCACATGCCTCAGTCTCCCAAAGTACTGGGATTACAGGCATGAGCCACCACGCCTGGCCAACTTCTTTAATCACGAAAAGAATCTGGTTATTTAAGGCCTCTATAATTGTGTATTTAATTTTTAAAAATTCCTTACACAAATGTTTTAGAAGGAAAGATGAAGGCAAGTAGTAAACTTCTCCAAGTTGCCACTGCCCCATCCCTTGCTTTCTTTCTGTGTTCCTCTAGTTTATTAATCCCACGAAATTCCACCTGGGCGCTTTCTAGGGCTGGAAGAAAGAGGGTGAATTACTTACTTTTCTTCATTTCTTCATTTCCTTTACATATTGTTTGTTTTAACTGTTCAATCCTCATCTTGCAGGACATTATTTTCCATCTCTGAAAAAAGCATGTAATAAATGTTACAAATGTTGGTCTCTTATGATTACCTATCTTGGATCACTACTTATTTTCAGGTATGTCAGAAAACCTAATGAAGAAAAGGGCCTATAATTATGTTTGTTATAGCTTTTGTAACTATGGAAGATTACGAAAAAGAGAACAATGTTTTTCTGGTTCGATACAGACAAAAGAGAAATTAAGGGAAACTATGAGAAAGAAATGCACAAAGTTCTTTTGCATTTGTCAGTGAGCAAAGAAAATACTGAAGGACAGCCGGGCGCGGTGGCTCAAGCCTGTATTCCCAGCACTTTGGGAGGCTGAGGCGGGTGGATCACGAGGTCAAGAGATCGAGACCATCCTGGTCAACATGGTGAAACCCTGTCTCTACTAAAAATACAGAAAATTAGCTGGGCATGGTGGCGCGTGCCTGTAGTCCCAGCTACTCAGGAGGCTGAGGCAGGAGAATCGCCTGAACCCAGGAGGCGGAGGTTGCGGTGAGCCGAGATCGCGCCGTTGCACTCCAGCCTGGGTAACAAGAACGAAACTCCGTCTCAAAAAAAAAAAAGAAAAGAAAAAGAAAATATTGAAGGACATTCTCTAAACCCTCTCTGTCTATACAGTTACTAGCCACATGTGTTTCTTAAAACTCAATTTACAACATACCGATTCAAAAATTCATACCAGCCTCATGTCAAATGTTTGACATCACATGTGGCTCGTGGCTACTGGATTGGACAGCAAAGATAGACAACACAGGCATCATCACACAGAGTCCTACTGACGTGCTGCTCCAAACTCTAGTGCTGGTTACTGAGGAGACGGTTAACATAACCAAGTTATCTCACCCAATAAGCAAATAGTACTTACAAGTTAATAAAAATGGCAACAAAACAAACATTTTTTCAGTACATAACTCAAGAGCTCCTGAAAAGCCTCAGAAAATTATATAAAACATGAAACTGCCTCTTTATATTACCAGGAGTTAGGTTCAGCATTCGCTAAAGCAACAGTTCCCAACCTTTTTGGCACCAGGGACTGGTTTTGTGGAAGACAATTCTTCTACGGACAGGGTGGGGGATGGTTTACAGGGATGAAACTGTGCATTATTTTCTCATAAGGAGTGCACAACCCAGATCCCTCACATGTGCAGTTCATAACAGAGCTCATGTTCTGTGCCACCGCTGATCTGACAGGAGGTGACGCTCAGGTGGTAATGCTCACTCGCCCTACTCTCTCCTGCTGTGCAGCCCAGTTCCTAACAGGCTATAGAGCAGTAGCCATATGTGCTCCAGGGTTGAGCATCCTTGCCCTGAAGTGAACAGAGGATCAATAAAAATAGGATCTATAGGCCAGCTGTAGTGGTCACACCTGTCATCCCAGCACTTTGGGAGGCCGAGGCGGGTGGATCACAAGGTCAGGAGTTTGAGACCATCCTGGCCAACATGGTGAAACCCCATCTCTACTGAAAATACAAAACTTAGCTAAGCATGGTAGTACATGCCTATAATCCCAGCTACTCGGGAGGCTGAGTCAGGAGAATCGCTTGAACCAGGGAGTCACAGGATGCAGTGAGCCAAGATCACACCACTGCACTCCAGCCTCATGACAGTGAGACTCCATCTCAAAAAAAAAAAAAAAAGATCTATGGCCTGGTGCAGCCACTCACACCTGTAATCCTCGCCTTTGGGAAGCTGAGGCAGGCAAATCACTCGAGCTCAGGAGTTCAAGGCCAGCCCAGGCAACATGGTGAAACCCCGTCTCTACCAAAAATACAAAAAATTAGCCAGGTGCAGTGACATGCGCCTATGGTCCCAGTTACTGGTGAGGTTAGAGTCCAGTGGTATGATTACAGCCTCACTTCAGCCTTGACCTCCCTGGCTCAAGCAATCCTCCCACCTCAACCTCCCGAGTAGCTGGAACTACAGGAATATGCTACCATACCTCACTAATCTTTGGTTTTTGTTTTTGTAGATGTGGGGTTTTGCCATGTTGCTCAGGCTGGTCTTGAATTCCTGGGCTCAAGCAATACACCTTGGCCTCCCAAAGTGCTGGGATTACAGGCATGAGCCACCACCACACCCAGCCCAGATTTCATAAGAGTAATTTATATTTAAGATACTCACATAACTGGAATCACACTTTACCCTACTTTACTTTTTCCATTAATAAATACAACATGGAAGGGCCGGGCGTGGTGGCTCACGCCTGTAATCCCAGAACTTTGGGAGGCCAAGGCGGGTGGATCACGAGGTCAAGAGATCGAGACCATCTTGGCCAACATGGTGAAACCCCATCTCTACTAAAAATACAAAAAATTAGCTGGGTATGGTGGCGCGTGCCTGTAATCCCAGCTACTCAGGAGGCTGAGGCAGGAGAATTGCCTGAACCCAGGAGGCGGAGGTTGTGGTGAGCCGAGATCGCGCCATTGCACTCCAGCCTGGGTAACAAGAGCGAAACTCTGTCTCAAAAAATAGTAATAATAAAAATAAAAATAAAATAAATGCAACATGGACATCGTTACACAGCAATATATGTAGACTGACCACATTATTTTTAACAACTACATAGTATCGTAATTTTTTATCTCATCCTGATAGATGAACATTTGTTTATATACTAGCTTTACCATTATGCTACAGACAATCAAATTTTTTTTTGGCCCATAAATTTCTATATTCACGAGCATTTCCTTAGGAGGAAAACTGCTGGATATACTATATGTGCTTTTTCAAACACTTTTTTTTCTTTCATAATTGAGATTTCACTGGTTGTGTTGAAGGTCAGTACACAGACATTTCAATTTGTACACGATTCTTAACATACATACCAAAAATCTAAAAGCCATGTATTTTAATTCTTTTTTAAAGTTATTCCAGTGGCTTTCCAGCTTAAAATCTGGAAACAAATTTCCCTTGAGTTCATCAAATACCAGTATCTTCACACATTGATAAGGTGTTACATGTATGTCCCACCAACTCACAACTGAATAGCATATACGCTACATCTTCAAATTTTCAATCTTTCACAGAACGTCAACAAAGTTATTAGGGAAACAGAACTACCACAACCAAAGAGCTCAGAGTGCACGCAATTCTGACAGGGAGAGCCATCAACAAGGAGCGGTTTTCTTTAGGAAACAGTTCTACTAAAAACACAGAAACAGAAGTAATTTAAAATGTTCAATACAGGCCGGGCGCGGTGGCTCACGCCTGTAATCCCAGCACTTTGGGAGGCCCAGGCGGGTGGATCACGAGGTCGAGAGATCGAGACCATCCTGGTCAACATGGTGAAACCCCGTCTCTACTAAAAATACCAAAAAAAGGCCGGGCGCGGTGGCTCAAGCCTGTAATCCCAGCACTTTGGGAGGCCGAGGCGGGTGGATCACGAGGTCGAGAGATCGAGACCATCCTGGTCAACATGGTGAAATCCCGTCTCTACTAAAAAAAAATACAAAAAACTAGCTGGGCGTGGTGGCGCATGCCTGTAATCCGAGCTACTTAGGAGGCTGAGGCAGGAGAATTGCCTGAACCCAGGAGGCGGAGGTTGCGGTGAGCCGAGATCGCGCCATTGCACTCCAGCCTGGGTAACAAGAGCGAAACTCCGTCTCAAAAAAATAAATAAATAAATAAAAATAAAAATAAAAATACAAAAAAAAAAAAAAATTAGCTGGGCGTGGTGGCGCGTGCCTGTAGTCCCAGTTACTCGGGAGGCTGAGGCAGGAGAATTGCCTGAACCCAGGAGGTGGAGGTTATGGTGAGCCGAGATTGTGCCATTGCACTCCAGCCTGAGTAACAAGAGCGAAACTCCGTCTCAAAAAAAAAAAAAAAACATGTTCAATACATTAAATGCAGGACTGTGACTTCATATTGCCATATAGTATGTTCACTATTATAGGATATAATAACTAACCCCCCCAAGTATGGAAGGTTAAGCTGACACCCAAGGCAGTCAAAGCCTCTCCTAACTCAGTATTCCACACTATCTTCTGGTCGTACCAAAAAGTAAACAACCAGAGAATGATTTCACCTCTTAAAAAAAAAAACCACTGACACTTAAAAAATGAGTTAAGGTAGGATTCCCTCCTTCTCAAAAGTGTTTCTAGAGCTACTAAAAAGCTTACATTCACAAAATAGTTGGTAAGTCCGGACGCATTAGCTCACGCCTGTAACCCCAGCACTTTGGAGGCTGAGGCGGGAGATCACCTGAGTTCCAGAGTTTGAAACCAACCTGGTCAACATGGTGAAACCCTGTCTCTACTAAAAACACAAAAATTAGCTGGGCAGTGGTGGCATGCGCCTGTAATCCCAGCTGCTCGGGAGGCTGAGGCAGGAGAATCACTTCAACCCAGGAGGCGGAGGTTGCAGTGGGCCGAGATCGCACCACGGCACTCCAGCCTGGGTGACAAAGTGAGACTCTGTCTCAAAAACAAAACAAAACAGTTGATTAAAATACTCCTCTAGATTAGACAAGAAGGGAGACAGGGACTCCTGACAAGACATGGTATAAGGCATTGGTCAGACGTGGCTTCTTCCTCTCTGGCTTCACTGGAAGCGGGGTTCTCCTCAGTTTCTTGCTTTCTGCAGGTCAGTCTTCAGTTTCTTGGTTAGTTGCTTCTGCCTTTTTCCCCTTTGCTCCCCTTTTCCCTTTTGTTTGCACTTTTTTCTTTGAAGATTTATTCTTTCCTGTGTTTTCAGCTTCGTTTCCACTTTTGCAGGAGCAGGCTCAGCTGACAACCGTGCCCATCTTCTCCTGGGCTCTTCCTTTGTGGCCCCTTCACTGGAGCTCACTGACCTTCCTCGAGTATCCGGGCTACAGGGAGGGCATGTGCCGGGGCACAGCGCGCCTGTCTAGAGCCTTAGCAAAGCAGGGCTGCCTGGCCTCTGCCATGCTTCCTCAAACTCTTTATTTTCATATGCTCTCCTCATTTTTTCCCTCAGTTTAATTGATTGCTAAACTTTTTTTTTTTTTTTTTTTTTGAGGGAGTCTGACTTTGTCACCCAGGCTGGAGTGCTGTGGCACCATCTCGGCTCACTGCAGCCTCTGCTTCCTCGGTTCAAGTGATTCTCCTGCCTCCCAAGTAGCTGGGATTACACGCGTGAGCCATTTACACCTGGTCAGAAGTTTTAAACTGTTAGGTAATCTGTCAAATCCTCTGTGGTTTATAAAGGTTCTCCCCACTCCAAGATTATGTAAATACCTACCCACATTTTCTTTGACACATTTTAAACATTAACCCATTTGAAGTGTGTATATGATAAAGAATTTTTGCAAAAAGGATAATAGCCCACTGTTTTTGTTTTTCTATGTCAACACTAAGTTTCATAATTATCCTTTATGATGGCTCCATAATTAATTGCTGATACCCCGTTTTTGGTATTTGGATGAAATATTTGAGGTGGTCACATTACAAGTGGATTTAAGTAGGACTACCAAATATGATTTAAAAATTTAATTAAAAGTGATTTTATAAGCTCTACCAACTTAAAACCAAGTTGCCTCAAGTAAAAAGAACATATATTACAGCTTACCAACTGATCTGTTATCCATTTTCCTTCCATAGCTTTTAACACTCTGTATGGAAAAGAAACAGAAAATAAGCTCTTAAAAATAATAAAATTCTGTGAAGTTCAAAAATGTAAAATGAAAAACTTTTAAAATTAAGTTCTTCGAAATGGCTAGAAATACGAAAATGGAACTTAGCATTTAAAGTGTTTTCCAGATTCCCTGTTCTCTGCAATTTTTTTCATCTTCTTCCTTCTGCAGTTCTGAACACTAAGAGCCTTTCTACTAATGCCCACAATAAATCTGCCCAACAGCCTTAGCCTTTGTCCTCAGTCATCAGTAATTTCCACCCATCATAATTCATAGTAATAGTTACAAGAGAATGAATTAATGATCTAAAATACTATGGTTAGTTCCCAAAGAAATGATACATGCCAGTATCTCCAAAAATTTGTTCTTTGAAATAAAATGTTCTATGGGAAAAATTAAGTTTTTGTGTTTGAGTAAGTTAGAGAAATTGCCGGGTGCGGTGGCTCACGCCTGTAATCCCAGCACTTTGGGAGGCCAAGGCGGGTGGATCATGAGGTCAAGAGATCGAGACCATCCTCGTCAACATGGTGAAACCCCGTTTCTATTAAAAATACAAAAAATTAGCTGGGCATGGCGGTGCGTGCCTGTAATCCCAGCTACTCAGGAGGCTGAGGCAGAAGAATTGCTTGAACCCAGGAGGCGGAGGTTGCAGGTGAGCCGAGATCGTGCCATTGCACTCCAGCCTGGGTAACAAGAGCGAAACTCCGTCTCAAAAAAAAAAAAAAAAAAAAAAAAAGTTAGAGAAATTTCGGAGTTAAAAAAAAAATCAAGCAGGTTTCTCTAATACAGAATATCCTGGAAGATTTAAACTGCTCATGAATGTGTTTATCAGACCATTGCAGACTCTAGAGAAGCCGGGGTCACACTGTGGGAATCACTGGCCTGATCATTAACTGTTTTCACAAAGGGGTGTGAGACATCCATGCTGGCATGGTTTGGGGAGTGTCACAAAAGAGACAACCCTTTAAGAGCCTTGAGAGATGGGCAGAATGTGCTCAGAGAAGAGGAAAAGCACTGAGGTGGAGAAACTGAACGAAGGCACAGAGATGCAAACATCTGGAGTGCATCTGAGAAGCAGGTTCTATACCAGAACGTTGTATAGGACAATTTTCAACACTAGGGACGGAGAGATTCATCGGGGTGCCTGTTAATAACTCGGATTCCCACCCCGCAAAAAAAAACAAACCTCAGATTCTTGGACCTCACCCCGTATCTACTGCATTCGAATATCTGAGGATAGGATTCCAAAAATTTGATTTTTTTTTTTTTTTTTTTTTTTTTAGATGGAGTTTCACTCTTGTTACCCAGGCTGGAGTGCAATGGCACGATCTCAGCTCACCGCAACCTCCGCCTCCTGGGTTCAGGCAATTCTTCTGCCTCAGCCTCCTGAGTAGCTGGGATTACAGGCACACCCCACCATGCCCAGCTAAGTTTTTGTATTTTTAGTAGAGACAGGATTTCACCATGTTGACCAGGATGGTCTCGATCTCTTGACCTCGTGATCCACCCACCTCGGCCTCCCAAAGTGCTGGGATTACAGGTGTGAGCCACCGCGCCTGGCCCTAAAAATTTGAATTTTTAACCATTATCTCAGCTAATGAATTCTGATACAGATGATGTACAGACCATATGTTGCAAAATACCGATACCCACAAAAGAAGAAAGGTAAATGGAAGCAGTAATGTCCTATGGGAGCCACCAGCACTAACTTATGTCTGATCATCCTGGACCCATACACCAATTATCAGTGCCAGGGATTTGATTCATTATCTACTGTGTACCATGCACCAGGTCTGAGACGAGTATCTTCTAGAAACTTGATAACTTCTCTTACTTTACCTCTCTCAGATGCACTCCTTTTTCCACACTTAAAGGACTGTATCCTAAATTCAGTAAGTTAGCAATTCATTTATCTGCATACCACAGCAATGAATTAAACCAAATGGTGACTAGATCACCTCCATAAATTAAAGGCAAAATACTCACTCTTTTTGAAATTCTTCTTGTTTGCTCTTAAGTCGGCTTAACCTTTCCTTCTTGTCAACGAACCTGTAAGAAAATATTCAATGTCTTATTTAAATATTCGTTTGTTTTTGTTCAGTGAGACTATGCAAATTCCCCAGAACCAATCATTCTGCACAGTCATGTGAAAATGTCATTGTCCTGATAGTAAGTACACATCTTCTCAATGGGATACACACAACTGCTAACCATTTGATTCTTTTAAAACTAAGCTCAAATCCTCAACTTTAACATTCTTCCTGGGTTTATAAAATACAAACTGTATCTTCTATCTTCCCCCCAGGTTAAATTATTTGTCAAGATAGGCACATCACAACACTAAAGTGAATCTGAATTCAAGAAAATTGATGCTTTCAGTAGAAAACAAATTTTAATTACTAATCTGGATTCAATCCTGCTCTCTCCTATAAACTGATTCCTTATAATAAATTTTTTAAAATTGTATGTACACTTTTTTCCCCCACTGATTTTATTATTAGTCATTATAGGCTAACGAATTAGTAAAAGTTAACAAAAAGACGGGATATCACATTGCAATATGTGATACTCTGATACTGCATCTGTCAGTTTCCATCCTTATCCTTATTTTCTTCTTGCTAACTTACTTGGGAGTCTGTTCTTTAATTTCGCAGTTTAAGGTGATAACTCAGGTCAATTTTAAACTTCTGTTTCTTTTAAATGTAATCACGTGAAGTTTTAAATTTCCTTCTATGCACTGTTATAGCTATATCCTAAGATTCTGATACAGTATATTTTCATTATCATTTGGTTTGAAACGTCTAATCTCCCATAAGAATCTTTCTTTGACCCATCTGTTATTTAGAAGTATATTGTTTAATTTTCAGATACACAAGCTTTTCTAGGTAGCTTACTGTTACTAATTTAATTCATTCTGAGGTAGTTACAAAATATATTCTGTGTGATTTCAATCTTGTGACTTGAGACTGTCGGCTTTGCAGCTGGTATGCCGTGGAGAAAGTTCCATGCATATCTGAAAGAATGTGTATGCTACAGCTGTTGCGCAGTGTTCTATAAATGTCAACTACTTGAAGGTGGTTGACAGTGCCACTCAGCTCTTCTAGATCTGTGCTGTTCAATGTGGTAGCCACCAGCCACATGTGGCTACTGAGTACCTAAAATGTGGCTTGCTGCTTAATAAGGGCATGAACAACAACAAAAAAAAAATTGTACGACTAACATCATATAATTGATTATGGAATGAACAGTGACCCACTGACCATTTCAAGAAAAGAGAGATAATGATGCATGCTGCAGTAACACGATGTGATGTCCAAGAACAGACTTTTGGCTATCTCCCAGCATAAAAGAAAACAATTCAACAGGCCATAGCAGACCTAAAAATAATGTGGACAAAGAAGTCTTTCCGAAATATTATTTCTGCAATCCCGTGTTTGAAACATACCCCAAGATATCTACTTCTAAGAGGAAGAAATAGAATCGTCTAACCATGACCCTAGCAAATTTAATAGTCGCTGAAAATGCACAATACACATTAAATGGAAAAAGAAAATAGGCAATTTAATACGTGACAGAATTATATACTTATGAGTATTTACATTTAAATTATAATTGAATGAAAATTTTTGATCCTCGGTTGTACTACATCCACATTTCATCAGCCACATACAACTAACTGGATGACGTGGATACAGAACACTTCCATCACTGCAGAAAGTTCTACTGGATAGTACTGCAATGTCCAGTAAGATGACGTGAAACAGTTAGAAAACTCAGAAACCAATGTGGAATGTGGACGAACCCACAGACTCATCAGTCAGTCTATCAGGCATTTACTATGTACCTGCAACATACAAAAAGGCATCTTCCAGAATATTAAGAAATCTGCCGGGCGCGGTGGCTCAAGCCTGTAATCCCAGCACTTTGGGAGGCCGAGGCGGGTGGATCACGAGGTCAAGAGATCGAGACCATCCTGGTCAACATGGTGAAACCCCGTCTCTACTAAAAATATAAAAAATTAGCTGGGCATGGTGGCACGTGCCTATAATCCCAGCTACTCAGGAGGCTGAGGCAGGAGAATTGCCTGAACCCAGGAGGCGGAGGTTGCGGTGAGCCGAGATCGCGCCATTGCACTCCAGCCTGGGTAACAAGAGCAAAACTCCGTCTCAAAAAAAAAAAAAAAAAGAAAGAAAGAAATCTAATAATAAATTCTCCTGCAGTGACTGTGAAATTGTTGGAGATATCACTTGTTAAATGCTTCCGTTTCCTTGTATCAAAAAAGAGAGACAAATATGGTATTTACTTTTACATCACTTTTACATGGTGATTTATGTTCTGATAATCTATAGAAAATGACAAACTCACAAGTTAGCAATCTCAAGCCATGCAAAGGACTGACATGGAAAATAAAATCTTGACTTTACAGGCTAAAAAAGTTTTCCTTTGAGGTCTGTTGTAAAAATTTCACTTTGCTCTAAAACAACTTCCGAAGACAGACTACTGTGTCCAGCATAATAGTGAGCTCATTCTCTTGGACTTTGTTAAAAACACAAAAGAAACAAACTCTTACAAATACACAGATGGCAGCAGGAATAACAAAAAGTTAAGTCCCACTGTATCAAACATTGAAAAGAATGGCAAAAACAGCAATTACTTTTGCACCAACCTCATACTTCATGAGTCATATTATCCTTCGTGAAAGAAATTAAAAATAGGTGGTGTCAGCAAAGCTAAAGAGCCGATGACACCAAGCCACACAGGTGGGTCAGCGCCGCAACTGCTCACTCAGCCACTTATCCAGGCTCTGCAGTCTCCATCCCACCACTCACAGAAGGAGATAAAAAATTCATTCTACAAGTTTGTGCTTTCTCAATATGGCTTCCAAGAAGTGAAAAATAAAGTATCACTATATTCTAACCAATTTAATGATACATATTATATATATACTTTTTTAAAGTATATGGCCGGCACGGTGGCTCATGCCTGTAATCCCAGCACTTTGGGAGGCCAAGGCGGGTGGCTCACAAGGTCAAGAGATCGAGCCATCCTGGTCAACACAGTGAAACCCCATCTCTACTGAAAAATACAAAAATTAGCTGGACATGGTGGTGCATGCCTGTAGTCCCAGCTACTCAGGAGGCTGAGGCAGGAGAATTGCCTGAACCCAGGAGGCAGAGGAGGTGGTGAGCCGAGATCGTGCCATTGCACTCCAGCCTGGGTAACAAGAGCGAAACTCCAAATAAATAAATAAATAAAAGCATATGTAGGGGGGAATCCATATTTCACATATTGTTTTCCAAATTGGGGTGTCACATAAAATATCTTGGTCTCTTTTTCCATGCCAGAACACATTGATCTAATTCACTAATAGGTACACAGCATTTCGCAGAATGGATGTAATACAAACCTCTACAAGTGAACACCAGTCTTCCTTCCGAATTTTCACTATTATCAGTAATGGTACAAATGAATAGCCTAGTGTACCTTTATAGGCTTTTCAGTTTCTCTATGAGAAATTCCTATAAATAAAATAAACTGGGCTGGGTGCGGTGCGTCATGCCTGTAATCCCGGCACTTTGAAAGGCCAAGTTGGGTGGCACACCTGAGGTCAGGGGTTTGAGACCAGCCTTGCCAACATGGCGAAACCCCAACTCTACTAAAACTACAAAAAATTAGTTGGGCGTGGTGGCAGGTGCCTGTAATCCCAGCTGCTTGGGAGGCTGAGGCAGGAGAATTGCTTGCCCAGGAGGTTGCAGTGAACCGAGATGGCACCATTGTACCCCACTCTGGGTGACAGAGCGAGACTGTCTCAAAACAAATAAAATAAAAAACAAACTGCTTATTCAAGGAATATTTATATGCAAAACTGTGGGTAATCCTGAAATTCCCTCTAAAATGCTTCACACAATTTACAACCCCACCAACAGAACCTGCTTTCTCACAATCTCCACAAACACTGGACATGTCTTATTTTTTGCTAATCTGATTGGCTCCTATCTCTCCCTCTGAGAGATGGCTCATAATTCATGTATTTGCATCTATTTCATTATTATAAAGGGTGAAAAACTTTTCATATTTTATTAGCTACTGATTTTTCTTATTTCCCTATGTACTTCATTCAATTTTTTTTAGTTTTCTTTTTCCTTCAAGGATTATTTAGCAAGAAAATTGGCCATTTTTCTTTCACACATCTTGAAATTATTTTTCCTATTTTCTTTTTTTTTTTTTTTTTTTTGAGATGGAGTTTCGCTCTTGTCACCCAGGCTGGAGTGCAATGGCACGATCTCGGCTCACCGCAACCTCCGCCTCCTGGGTTCAGGCAAGTCTCCTGCCTCAGCCTCCTGAGTAGCTGGGATTACAGGCACGCGCCACCATGCCCAGCTAGTTTTTTGTACTTTTAGTAGAGACGGGGTTTCACCATGTTGACCAGGTTGGTCTCGATCTCTCGACCTTATGATCCACCCGCCTCGGCCTCCCAAAGTGCTGGGATTACAGGCTTGAGCCACCGCGCCCGGCCTATTTTTCCTATTTTCTTGTTACTATGTTTCTGCTCTACAGAATTTTCTGAACTTTAAATGTAGGCACACATCATTTTGTTGTTGTTCTTAATCACACTAGTTTTTGTGCTGTTTCCTGAAAGAAATCTGCCAGTGAACCTGTTCGATGCCTGGCACTTAAAACACTATTTCCTGTATTTTCTCTCCCAATTAACAAATGTCTTCTATATTGTTTACTACATTACTCCATAGTTATATGATTTGGGTTCCCCCCTGCCAAAATGTATTCTCTCAAATGAACTTTGTTGTTTCATAAATTCTTCCATACGTTTATGACTTACGATTTTTTTTTTTTTTTTTTTTTTTGAGACGGAGTTTCGCTCTTGCTACCCAGGCTGGAGTGCAATGGCGCAATCTTGGCTCACCGCAACCTCCGCCTCCTGGGTTCAGGCAATTCTCCTGCCTCAGCCTCCTGAGTAGCTGGGATTACAGGCACGCGCCACCACGCCCAGCTAATTTTTTGTATTTTTAGTAGAGACGGGGTTTCACCAT